TTGCCACACCAAGTCTGTGAGATACTCATGCTCGGTCTGGGTGCCTATGTGGCATTTAGTGCTCTAGAATGGGATTTGAACTCAGGGCTTCACATTTGCAAAGCTGACACTACCACTTTCGTCACATCTTCAGTCTGTTGTGCTCCAGTTATTTGGAGATGGAGTCTCAGGAACTATTTGCCCGGATGGCTTCAAACCACAATCCTCCAATCTCAGCTTCCCAAATAGCTAGGATTATAGGCCTCAATCACTGGTGCTCAACTTAGTGCTCTGAGTTCTTGATTTTCATCACTCAGCTGTGAGCTCCTTGAAGTCAGAGGCTATTTCTTCCTCCTTCAGGTCTCCATCTCTTGATAAGGTACCTAGCTTAATCACATTTCTTAAAAGGAGTGAGAGTGTATGCAAGGGCATCTGTCACAGGCTTGGCATTTGTTTCCATTTTAGAACAAGAAAACTCAAATTATTTCTTTATTTTTATATTTAACAGACATTTATGGAGGAGATGACACGCAAGCAACCTGATGTGGACCGCGTCACCAAGACATACAAAAGGAAGAATATAGAGCCTACCCATGCTCCTTTCATTGAGAAATCCCGCAGTGGTAGCAGTATGTTTCTGACCACTTCACTAGGATCCTTCCTTCCTGCTAATTGAAGATGAGAACTTTCCAAGTGCCTATCAAAAGAATTATTTTGATTTTCAAAACCTTACTGGATTTGAGCCAAAATCTGTTTTGAAATCTTTCTAACACTGATAGACTAGCTATACTTTTATTTTCTTGATTAGTATTAAATTGCAAGGTATTGAAGTCTGGGGGGTATTTTTTGTTTGGGGTTTCTTTAATTTTTTATTGTTGGTAGTGGGATTTGAACTCAGGGCTTCATACTTACTAGGCAGGCATTCTACCACTTGAGCCACTCTGTCAGCCCAAAGTCTGTTCTGAAACAGTGGCCTTTCCATTGTTTGGTCATTGGTACTAGCTATTTACCTTTGATTTGCTATAATTTGTTATAATTTAATTATAACATAAATCAGCTGCTCTAGAATCTACTGCTTTTTGTTGAGTTGACCATGTTCTCAGTTCACTAAGGTAGGACAGAATTGGTTAGAGATATGTAGGAAATAGGTAAGTATCTGTGGACTAGAAGAGAGATCAATAGCTCTGCAGCTAGTACACCAATGTATCTAGGTGTTGCCAAGTACCATGTTTCTTTTCTCAATTACTGACTGAATACCATTATAAAGATCTCTTAAGGCCGGGCAGTAGTGGCTCATGCTGGTAATCCTTGATACTCAGGAGGCAGAGATCAAGAGGATTATGGTTTGGGGCCAGCGCACACAAAATGAAAGTGAGACCCTATCTCAGAAAATACCCAACAAACACACAGACAAAAAGAGCTAGTGGAGTGACTCAAGTGGTAGAGTACCTGTCTACCAAGGGTGAGGTCCTGAGTTCAAACTTCAGTACTGCAAAAAAAAAAAAAAAAATCTCAAGTTTATACATATAGCTATTTCTCTGTAGACTGACAAAAACCAGCTTTTCTAATCTTGTGATTATTTTTCATTTTAGGAAAATCTTTGAGTCATCCCACACCTCCTCCCATGCCAATCCTCTCACAATCTGAAGCAAAAACCCACGAATCAATCAGCTCTCTGCCGCTGGCAACAAGTATGGCTGTTAGCACTGGAGCGCCAGCGGAAGCTGAATGATGCTTTGGATAGACTAGAGGAGGTAATGCCCTTCTGAGTGGCCTTCAAGTGTTTTTTTGTTTGATTGGTTTTGTTTTGTTTTGTGTTTTTTAAATCAAAGCGCAGCTGTTGCCAGGCTCCAGTGGCTCACGCCTATAATCCTAGCTAGAGATCAGGAGGGTCACAGTTCAAAGCCAGCTCAGGCAAATAGTTTACAAGACGCTGTCTCAAAAAAAAACCCATCACAAAAAAGACTGGCGGAGTGGCTCAAGTTGTAGGCCCTGAGTTCAAACCCCTGTACCGCAAATTTAAAAAACACGCACAGCTCTTCTGAGGCCCTCTTAGTATGACCTATATGTCTTCACCTACTTCTTCAGAAGTAGAAGCAGACCTGTACTGAGCCAGTACTCTTTATTTCAAGCCCCCAAATAAGAAAGACACATTCATAAGAAAACCACTCACAGCAGAGGAGGCCATAGCATCTGGTAGTGGAAAGCAAAAAACAAGCCTGTTCATACAAAAGTCAGGCCTGGGACCTGATTCTCTTCAGAACTTTGCTGTGGTTGAGAATCAGGAATATAACTTTGAGAAGTTATATCCAGATACATAGCTTATCACAGAAATGACAATTACTGCTGGGTGAGTGGCTCAAGTAGTACATCTGCCTAGCAAGCGTGAGGCTGATTACCACCAAAAAAAAAGAAAGGACCATTATTGAACCCCTCATGTAAAGATAAGATACATGCTACACAATCATGAAATAAGAATGAATTTTTATTGTCTTATTATTTTGTTAGTCTGCACTAGATCATAAAAAGCAAGTCTATTGAAGTGTTATTACCCAATATAAAAAATATGGTACCATGCTTCATAGTTTCTAAAACAAGCCTCTAATATCTTTTATATTCTTTTATTTGTGCACCTCAAAGCAGCTATGCCTGGAAGTGAGTGTTCTGTGTTTTTTTGTTGTTATTTCCATAGGTCAGTTGAATTTTAAGCATATTTGGTTCTTGGCGCTTTCTTTCCCCCATTCCTTCCAACTTTGGAGTTTGAAAGACCAGGGGGAAAACTGCTATACTGTTAAATCATTCTGCTTGTGAATCACTAACATAGTCCAAGTAGCTGAAAATCATCCTGCCCACTGTAACAGGCCTGCTATTTTCCATCAAGGCCAAAATTTAACATAAATGTCAGGAGGGCAGCTTGCTCCCTCTGGTGCCATTCCAAAGAAACGTGCTTGAGTACAGGGTTGCATTCTCAATGCTTCCCATACAGAACTCATTTCCTCACAGAAGTCTCCGAAAATGGTGGAAAACGAGCGTCCTGATGTGGACTCTATGTGTGATTATAGTGCCTTTTAAAACAACATGAGAGGGGTGCTGAGACTTTCCTTCTGGGATAGATTCCATTCCCTTACATCTTAGAAAAGATGGAAAAGTCCAAAGGAAAAGCAAGCCTGGCTCCACCCATTCTTTGTGCTCTGTATTTTCTGCAGTATTTTTTCATTTACTGTTTCTCCTGCTATTGCATTCCACCACAGCTTATGTAAATGATTATGGCTTCAAGTGAAGGAGACAGGGTGCCTTCACAAGTGAGGCAATGTGTAAATAGCACTGTCGGTGCCCCTGGAAGGCCTGCATGGCTTTGCTGAATGTCTGAGAGTTTGTGTATGCTCAGGGCAGCTTTGAGGGCTCAAAATAATAGTTCTTATTGACAACTCTGACTTCTATCTAGTTGAAGGAATTTGCCAACTTTGACTTTGATGTCTGGAGGAAAAAGTATATGCGTTGGATGAATCACAAAAAGTCTCGAGTCATGGATTTCTTCCGCCGCATTGACAAGGACCAAGATGGGAAGATAACACGTCAGGAGTTTATCGATGGAATTTTAGCCTCCAGTGAGTCCATTCATAATTCCAAACATAGGTCATACCTTAATTCCTTGCAGTTACTTTGTAGAAGTTGTGATCTTATGGCCAAGTAGTCTTTCTGAAATAGAAGTCTTAGGGAAGATAACTGCCTACTAAACATACATCATTTTGATGGAGAAAAGAATCTCATTTCCACTAGTAATAAAAAACACTTATTTGATACCTCAGGGCAAGCAAGACACGTTTAAGGTGTAGGTATAAAGCTAACTTTGAATAATAAGGTTCTAAGTAACATGCTTTGAAAAATACATTTTTCATAGCCCTCGGGAAGCCAAGGAAGGAGTATCACAAGTTCAAGGCTAGTTTGGACCACATAGTGAGACCCTATCTTAAAGAAATAAAAGGAAGTTTTTCATAAAAGCAGTTTGTGACATCTCTATAACAGCTTACAACGTTTTAGCCAAAGACACAGGAGACATAATTGAGGCATAAAGTAGTTAAATAATTTGCCAAGATTGGGATCACAAAGCACTTCTCATGCTATGCGATTTCATATGGGGTAGTCAGGGAAGACCTATCTGTGGAGGTAATATTTGAACTGAACCTAAATGCTGAGAAGGTTTCATTCAGACACATGAAGATTTTTGAGAAGTGCTGGAGGCAAGGGGAATAGAAGGTACAGAACACTGAGGTAGGAATGAACTTGGCATATTCTAGGAATGGAAAGGTTGATGTGACTGGAGTGTCGTGACCTAAGAGGAGAGTCAAAAGTGGTGAAGCTGGAAAGGTAAGCAGCAGCCAGTTAACACAGAACCTTAGAGGTTATAGTGAAGAGCTCAGATGTCATTCTGAAGTCAGTGGGACAGTGGGGAGCCATCTGAGGTTTTCAGCTGAGAAACAATGTGATCTGATTTTGTTTCAATAACTCACTCTGACTCCTACAGATACTCACACTTCTTTGTGGAAAGCAATTTGTCAAGAATCTAAGACAGTAATCTTAAAAATAGAGGGAAAAAAGGGGCTGGAGGCATGGGTCAAGTGGTAGAATGCCTGCTTAACAAGCACAAGGCCTTGAGGTTAAACCCCAGTACCGCCCAAAAAAAAAAATTTTTTTTTTTTTTTAATTCTAAAGTGACACTGGCTTGAAATAGTGACTAATCTGAACATCCAGCAATAGTGGAGTAGGTAAGTAAATTCTTAAGATGAGTGGTAGGCCTATAGCTGGTTGTAACCTTATATCTTATGCCTTTTGGTATATCTGAAATACTATTTTTTTCTTTTTAACTGCATAAGGGGTAAGGGAGTTTATAAGCAAAAATACCAGAATCATAATAGTGAGTAGTCCCTGGATGCTGTATTTCTGAGTGATTTTTATAATTTGTATCTCCTGAGTTTCCTAAAGTAGACATGTATTGCTTTTCAGAAAAAAAATTGTGCCAGTTTTTTTCTTTCAAGTATTTATATACCAGTCAACCAAGTAAACCCTTATAATGTTTCAAATTGTGATTTTTTTTTTTTTTCTCCAGAGTTCCCTACCACCAAGTTAGAGATGACTGCTGTGGCTGACATTTTTGACAGGGATGGGGATGGCTACATTGACTACTATGAATTTGTGGCTGCTCTCCATCCCAACAAGGATGCTTATCGACCAACAACTGATGCAGATAAAATTGAAGATGAGGTATAGGGGATAATTATGTTTTAAGTATATTTTTGACCAAGGGCTTGTATCGCCCTGAATTTGTTTACCATATCAGCCCTTTGACTCTTGTGGAGAACTGGTTATTTGGAGTTATGTTTCAGGTTCAACTTTTGGATGGTGTTTCAGAGAGCCCCAGAGTGTCTCTCTGGCTACTAAGCTCTAGCTTGGTCTAGATGGATTACTACAGGGGTCATGTCTGTGGTACTCCAAAGTCCACAGAGGACCTTTCCAGGGAATTGTGTTCATCCTGGTTAACAGGTACCATGTTGCTCAGGACTCATCTTAGTCCTGAGCATCCTACCTCAGAATCCAGGAACATGATCTTCAAACACAGTGAAAGGGCTGTAATAAGATGGTGTGTATGTACCAAGCTTTTTGCCTAGTTAAATACTGAATCTTGTTGGAAACAGAAAATTTATAAGTAGCACATAGAGATCCCAGGATCCATCGATTACAGGTCTTGGAAAGGGAGAGACAGAAGAGCCAGTCTTGGGAGTAGCTCTGGGATACACCAGAGATAACTTGGGAAATTCAGGCTCCTAGGTTGAAATTCAAGTCAGTTCATAATTTGTTTTATTAGTCATTTGATTTTGATGTATGCATATTAGCACTCTCCTAAAGAAGTTTTGAAGCAGGATGAAAGAATGTGTTGTATGTTGTAGAGTTACTTGGATTTCTTGCATATATGCCTTTTGTCTCAGTGGCTCTTATCTCAAGAGCAATGTGTGTTAATTATGAGTAGACAATAAATGCATGTGTCAGAAGCCTAAAATGCTGAAAAATAATGAATAGCTTCTCTGTTTACATGTTTAAAAAAAAATTTGTTTCTCCAACTAGGAATTAGGAAGTCTTGCTTTGCCCTTTATTTTTGTTTGTTTGTTTCTGTTTACAACTCATAGGTCACAAGACAAGTAGCTCAATGCAAGTGTGCAAAAAGGTTTCAGGTGGAGCAGATCGGAGAGAATAAATACCGGGTAAGGAAGAGAAAAACGACATGTGGCCCTTATAGGTTAAAGTAACCTGACATACAGCAGACCAGATGATCCCACTGTCTCACACCTGGTGTCCTTGCCTAGAGATTTGACCACTGTCTGGCCCTTATCTCTAGATAGGAGACATTTCAGAGCCCTTACCTCATTGCTAACTGAAATCTTCAGGGTGATAACCAACTATACCAAATGATTGATGATTCGCTCCAGAGAGTTGGTCATCGTGAGCCTGAATAGCTCCCATGCACAGAGATGGCTAGGAAAACTGCTTCGAGATCCAACAAATGCTGTGCTTATTACGAGCTGGGCTACAGAGAAGACTTACGTGTTGCTATAACTGACATAAATTATACTTGTTTTTGTTTATTTTGGGACCAGCTCAGCAATGTAGAAAGCATCCAAAAACAGTACTCCTAAAGTATATTCAGCAGCTTGTCAGGATTCTCTGAAGTCCTAAAAAAAAACCTGTGATTACCAAAGAGGGTTTAAATGGCCATGCTTGACTGAAACATAAAAAAACCCGGATTCCATTAATACCTCAAAAATGTACCCCAAATCCCTACCGTGCTGCTATTAACTGAGTAGCGTTTGTGTTTGGATGACTTTGTCTTGACTCTAACCCTGGCCATTTAGTTAGAGCTCCAGATAATCCTATACGTGCTTGTTGGGTTTTGTTTTCTTGTTTTTTAAATTACCTACAAGAGAAATGAGTTAATATGAGCAATACAGTGTTTAATTTGTAAAATCACATCCATATGGCAGGTGCTTGATAAGAATATGATCAGTGTATATTGGAAGACTGGTAACATGATGCTATGATTGCCATTCCTTAGTGTTAACTTGACAAAATGTTCTCTTTTTTCCCCTCCATCCTGTACTCTTACTGTCTGTAGTTCTTCCTCGGCAATCAGGTACAGTGTGCTTGCAATGTCCTCCTCAGTGGATATGGTCTTTGTAGCTGATGCTGCCTGTTCTTTGCTGTGGGGAAAGGACATAATCTGAAGCATGCTGGGTCACATCTGGTTGTCTTACCAAGTGGAGAAACTGCTAACAGAGCCAGTGTCACAAAGCTGCCTCAGCAGAAAAGGATACAAGTATACTTTAAAAAAAAACAAACAAAAAACACCAAGTTATAAAGTAATACGATTCAGGGGAAATTGAGACTATATTACCAACCCATTCCACTTACAGAAAGCACCTGTCTCGTACTTCTATATTATAAGCAGAACCATCAGCACAGTTTTTATTTATACCAGTCTTTTGACAGTTAATACAAACTTTGTAATGTGTACTAAGTCAGAAAGTCCCAGGGGTACTTAAGTACTGTGTTTAAATATTTCCTTAATATTTATACTTACATTTTATAATTACAAAGTACCTTAAACCATATTGTGGAAATCATAATTGGCCATGGCCTAAAGTTTGCTGATTATGACCAGCCAGCCAGAATCTAATAGGACCTAATTACACTTGCATAAAAGATTGGAAACCTTGACTCCACTTGGTAACTGTAACCTTTCAGATCTTTTTGAGGGCTCTGGGGTGCTGTGTCTTCAAATGTGAAAGGAAGTTGCATGAGTTAATCTCTCTCTCTATGATATAAAATTGGAAACACTAAGAATTCATTGAAGGCCCTCAATGTTAAATTCCAGTCACTGCAATAATCACCAATTAGAGTAATGTTTGGGGTCAGTGGAAAGAACCAGGGAGAGAAAAATCTAAAGATGAGAAAAGTCATGTTGACTTTAAATAAACCATTGCCAGGTCAGGTGAGGTGGTTCAAGTCTATAATCTCAGCTACTTAGGAGGCTGAGGCAGAATCTAAAGTTTGAGGCCAGCCTGGGCAACTTGCAACTTAGCAAGATCTTGTCCCAAAATAAAGTATAACTGTAATCCTAGCTACTCAGGAGACAGAGATCAGGAAGATCGAGGTTCAAAGCCAGCCCAGGCAGATAGTTTGCAAGACACTATCTCAAAATACCCAGTACAAAATAGGGCTGGCAGAGTGGCTCAAGTGGTAAAATGTTGTAATAGAGAACAGAATTAGGAAGTTCATCTTACCTACAAGGCGCCTGAGGTCTCAAAGATCACATTCCACTGTCACACAGCTAATGTCATACCCAACAAAAGAACCCAAGTCTCTATAAGAGAAACAGTTGTTGACCTCAAAGACGCTGGTTCGGAGTTCTCTGCCTCTCACACCTTGTTCTGTTAGTTCCCATCTTTAGAGGTGCCATAACCCTCCTACCTCTCATCACTGGCCTCAGATTGCCCCACAGCAGCTGCTTTGGCCTCAAGTGCCTTGAATCAAACATCCTTTTCCCAGAGCTCAGAAGAAACAAGCTAGAATCTTTCAAATAAAGCTTCACTAAGAAATTAAGGGGAAACAACCATGAAATAAATGGAGTAATGAACCATAAGACACGATATTCTAAGAATAAAGTACTCTGGGGTTCCTTCCTGTTCACTCAGGAGGACACAGATTCATATTCTTCCCTCTCCTCACCTATCCAGTGAAACCTCCCCCCCCCCGCCCCCCCCCAGAACATGCTCCCTCCAAGGCAGGAAGCAGCTTCCTTCCCAGAGAGTGTATCTATTTCCTCACAGCTATGGATAGTGCTGTTTCTACTTTACCATCTTGTCACTGTGGTCACTGTATAAAACTTTTAAAAACTACATATAAGAGGGAAAACTATATGCTCTGTGGTAGAGCACTTGGCCTACCATGCTGCATGGCCCTGGGTTTGATCCTCAGCACTGCCAAAAGAAAAAAACAAAACAAAAAAACACTTGAGATGAAATTATACAGGGCTGCTTATTTTCAAAGTAAATGGCTAGGAAGAGAAGGAACAATATGTTTGAGACTCTTTGCCTATACAAATAGTGCATTTGAAGGGCTAGGGGCATGTCTCAAGTGGCAGAGTGCCTGCCTAGCAAGCTTAGTCCCTGAATTTAAACCCTAGTGCTGATAAATAGTGCATTTGAGTCAGAGCAGCTAAAGAATATGGAGAATTAACTGCCAATTTATTAATATTGAAGGATGATACTTAGTGTCCTCAGACATCCTTTCTCACATTTTTAATTTTTCTGCCTTGTTTCAAAATTATGATTCTTTATAACTTTGAAAATCCTGACTAGGTGGTTAAATATTCCCTCCCCCAGAAACATTCTCCTTAAATTAAATAATCTTAAAAATTCCATTTCTTTAATCATATGTTTGATGTTCGTTTTGAAATCTTATCATACTTCTCTTTTGTTCCCTCTTCCTTTGGGGAAGAGGCAATTTATGTAGTAGGAAGCACCAAATATTAATCTAGAGATGGGAAGTCAGAATGTCAGGCAAAACAAAAGGAGAAAACAAATATCAGAAAGAACATGTTTATAAGTGAGACATGATGGTGCATGCCTGTAACCCCAGCACTCAGGAAGTGGAGGCAGGAGGATTGAGAGTTCAAGGCCAACCTGAGCTACATAGTGAGACCCTGTCTCAAAAACAAAACAAAACAAAATCATGTTTATTCGAAGGTCCAGAATATTACTGAATGCTCGTTATAATCACGATGGAAAATTAAAATTTTTATTTCTTCAACTAAATTTTAATACATTACCTTGTCATTTGTTTTGCTGGTGAAATCACAAGTAGAAAATGCTTAAGGTTTACTTCTGAAAACTAGATACAGCAAATCAAATTTCTCCTAACTTTATAATGATGCTTTGCAAGGGTTTCCTTCATGCTTGATATGGTGTTTGCTATTCTCCACTTCACTTTAGAGCACACTGTATTCAGTTGACACACACACACACACACACACACACACACACACACACACTTACTTTAGGAAAACAAATTAGCATAAGACCCTGGTCCATACCAGACAGTTTTTTTTTTTTTTCTTGCTGTGCCAGGGATCTAATTCAGGCCCTTGTGCATACTAGGTGAGTGCTCTACCACTGAGCTACATCCCTAGCCCACAAGATACTGGTCTGTAGTTTGGTGTTTCTGCTTTTATATTTACTAACCCTTTTGTGAAAAATGTAAAAATGCAAAATAGAGTTTGAAAATCTCCCAAAACTATCACACTGTCATTCTTGTCTGAATACAGTCTGCTTGTAGGGGGGAGGGGGATAGTACAGGTGTACTTTAAGGCATACTCATTAACTATGTTTCCCCTTGATTCTACAGTTTGGGGATTCTCAGCAGTTGCGGCTGGTCCGTATTCTGCGCAGCACAGTGATGGTCCGTGTTGGTGGAGGATGGATGGCCTTGGATGAATTTTTAGTGAAAAATGATCCCTGCAGAGGTAAGGAAGCATCCTGACCATGAATTACATGTTAGAAAGTTAGCTGGGCCCATGCTGCTGATCTTTCATGCTTACAAGAAGTGTTGATAGTGGATCTATTTTTTTGTTTCATTATTGAAGTGCCCAGGTGTTTTCCCACATAGCAAAGGTTAGAACTCTGGGTTCCAGGGAGAAAAAGCTAAAGAAGTTGATACTGTTGTAGAACACAGGAGTGAGAGTTAAATGAGTTGATATCATCTGAATGTTTCACTTTGGAGCTTTACATTAATACCAACCTAGCAAGGAACCTGGTGTTTAGTTTCTTCTATCGTAAGAGTCTCAGGTGCCTTTTCCTGTAATTCTTATGACTAAAACTTGAAGGTGTTGGGCTCTTCCCATACAGGGAAGGACTGGTAAGCATCCTTAACTAGAAGAGAAGAGAAGTTAAAGAGATACCTACCAGCAGCCTAAACCTTTCTAAAACAGTCACCTAAGCAAGACTTTGGAATGTCTTCCTGCTATATAAATATGAAAAGGCACCCATCAGCCCAAAGGCAAAAAAAAACCCATCAACTTAGTCTAAGCAGCTAGGGACTAGGGGACAAACAAGCACATTCTGCTTAGCTACATCCTCTCCTTTTCCTGTTAGCAGAGCTGCATGTGGGTGTACAGGGGGCTCCCCTCTGTCTACCAGTTTGTCTTTCTTGACTGGTTTCTGCGTTTTCTGCTCTGTCTCTGTTTCTTTCTGTTTACATATTTTTTATTCTAGTTCACCATCCTGGGAGTAAAATAAAGCGCTCTGATTCCAGCTCTTCGATTTCCAGTCAGTCTCCCATAGGTTGGCTTTTATGCTTTGTCCCTCTTCCCCTATACCCTAACCTTTTGAGAATGGCTTTGCTTCCTGAACTGTAATATTTCTTGGCTCTGTGATACCTGCTGCCTTGGTGAATGCTTGAAATAGCCAAACTGTTGCTTTTTCCAACTACTCTTTTGACAGGGCATGAAATACTGTTACTGAGATGGTATCCCTAGAATTTGTTCTGATTTTTTGTCACACGCTGTTAAAAGCATACATTTTTGCCTCATGACCACCCTATGAGGTGAGTATTTGTTTCATAGAATAGAAAATTGAGGCATAGAAATTTTAAGTAACTTGCTCAAGGACAGCCAGCCAGTAAATGACAGAAGCAAAATTCAAGTCCAAGTCACCCTTGCTCTAGACCAGCTCCTGACCACTGTGCTATGCTTCTCCAAGGCTCACATAGCCCTTGTGTGTGTATCATTGGTCCAGTCTGAGTAATTAAATTATTAAGGCTTATTTATAAACGTAGCAGAAATGTTTGCAGTACAGCTGTGTAACTTCTTTGGAAGTAGTTTATAGTCATATTCTGAAACATTTAGAGAGGACAGACCTGAAGGGTTCAGTTCTCACATGAATTCATACATTCCCATAAATTGTTCCTCTTATTTAAACTCATTCTCCATTTACTCCAGTAAGCAAGAGTAAAAGCTAAGCAGTAAAAATTTCCATAAAAAGTTTTTTTAAGAAGATAAATTTGAAAATGCCTTTTCTGACAATGAAAGGGTTTAATGAGTTTTAGAATTAATCATATCATAAACCAGTGTCCTTGATTTAAAAGTCTTCTTTCATCATTTTAAATGGGGAGCAATATGTATATCACTTTAACCTTGACTCAGTAAAACAGCATTATTGCTCCTAAAACTATTAATAAAATCTTATTTTTCCTGTCGTGTATGATTGGACTAAACGAAAGACATTCTGCATGTGGCATTTTGGAACCCTCAGTTGCCTGTTTATTCACTGCCTGCTCTATTTATAATTACATTATGTTGCTGGACAAGGAGAATATTGCTTGCCTTATTTTACTATCTAAAAATTGGAACCCCAAGGAAATTTGGGAGGGCCACCTAGCAGCTATTTTCTATGGACAATAGTAGCCTTTTTCAGCTTCCTTCAGAGCAAACAAGGTAAGACTTTCCTCTGTCTCTTTCCATGAGTGCCCTCATAGAACCCAGCAATCACCTTGATCCATTGACTGTGGAGTAGAGAACTCTCCAACAGTTTCAATGTCATAATTCTGCGAGCAAAGGGTGAGATGAGTTGTTTCTAAACAAATAAATGATAATGCTAGGAAGTGAACACCTAAGGGCTGGGAGGGATGGCAGTAAGTGAAATAGAAAGGTATGAACATCAAAAAGATATTAACTTTCCCGGAGTAATGTTGCACGTCTATAATCTCAGCTACTCTGGAGGCAGAGGCAGGAGGATCAGAAGTTCAAGGCCAGCCTAGGCTTCATTGTGAGACTCTGTTTCAAAAGAGAGAGAAATAAAAATACCAGGGGTTCCCTGTAGGACTAATGTGGCTTCTAGAAGCACTGCTTGTGGGAAATTTTATATTCATTTGTGTTGCATTACCTTGGGCCTTTGGACTGTAGAGAACGTTATATTAAGGATGATACAAAATTTGTGACAAGGTTCTGAATACCAATTCATAACTAAGGGTGTGACTTAAGTGGTAGATTGCCTGCCTAGCAAGCATGAGACCCTGGGTTCTGTCCCCAAGATTGTCCCCCTACCCCCTGAAAGAAAAAAAAAAACCCACCTCAAACTTAATACCAATTCATTATCTTCTTTTCCATAGCTGTTAAGAAAGATGGAAGGTCTCAAACCATGTGTTGCTTTAACTAAATGTAAAAAATAAAAATATTCCTCTAGCTAGGTTTTCTAGTTACACAATTTTCTGCTACTGCCACAATCAGGGATTGTAGTTTCTGAATTCATCTGTGGCAACGGAAATGACAGTGTTTTATGTGGGATAGTGCTCCTGCCTGAAAAATGGCTATTTCTGTACCTAGGGTTCTATGTTTAAATTTTGGTAAAATACACATAACATAAAATTTCCATCTTAACTGTGTTTAAGTGTATAGTTAACTACATTCACGTACCACACGTACACAAAACTATATCATGTAAAATTGAAACTCTGTACCTATTAAACAATAGTTTGAAACTAATCTTTACTAACAGGCCTTAGTCCAGCCAATGTCAGGTGGCCCTTAGAAAATGATGGCCCCAGGCTGGGGACACAGCTCAAGTGATAGAGCACCTGCTTAGCAAGTATGAAGCCCTAAGTTTAACCCCAGTACTTCAAAAAACAAAAAAAGAAAGAAAATGATGGCCTTTTTGGTGGCAAAATAGTCAAATTTAAGGTAACTGCCTTCAGTGTCTGCTCCTAGAAGTTCAGGAATAGATCTTTCCCCCAATAAAACTTCTGAGCTGGAGACTTGTAGCTCAGTAACATTTTCCTAGCACATGCAAGAAAGGCCCTAGGTTTGAATCCCTGCAATGCAAAACAAAAAACAGTCAAACATCTACTAGGAATATTCTTTTTAACTTTAGAAATATAATATCCTATATTAAGGTATTATAAATACGTACACTACTCAGTATGTTTTTATCTTTAGTGTGCATCCTTTCTGTACATCCTTTGCTGTATAAGAGCAAATCTTCTTGTAGAAATTTATCCTAAGAAAACATCAGGGTACATGCAAAAATGTTTTACAAGTTGTCACAGCATTGGATATAATGTCTTAAAAATTATAAGCAAATTGAAAATGCAACATTGGGCTGATTAAAGTGGTATCCATATGATGAAATTATACTTTACAGTTAGTTGAAATGTAATGTGAGACACATACAGGATGGAGGAATATTCTTGATGTTTTTGTATTAAAAAATACTATACAGTTGTGTCGCAAAAGTATAAAGACATACCAACATTTCAATAGTGATGTCCTCTGAGTTGGTGAGAAAAAAAGTGTTAAGCGATTTTTGTTCCCTTTGTACTTTTCTATATATTTCAACCTCTAAAATTAAAAAAATACATCACACATACACACACGCACGCACACGGAAGGTAGATGTTCTCAGTGAACTTTACCCAGCAATTTCCAGGTATAGTGCACATAAAGATGGTAATGACAGTCAAGTGCCATATTACACTTTGTAAAAGTACAATGTAAGGAAACATTATTACAGATAGTACTCTTTATTTTTTTATGGTGGTATTCATTTGTTTTTTATTTTAGTTTTGTTTTTGTTGTTTGGTTTTGTGGTATTGGGGATTGAACCCAGGGCTTCACACATGGTGAGCAAGCACTGTTACTATTTGAGCCATGTGCCAGCCCTTTTGTTTATAAATGCAGGGGTGGGGAGGTGGTTTGGTGGGTTTCGCGCTTTGCAAAGCAGGCTCTCTTACCACTTGAGCCCCACTGGTGCCTGGCTGTTTTTTGTCTTTGAGATAGAATCTCACTAACTTTGCCCTGGCTGGTCTCAAACTTATGATCCTCTTACCCCCACCTCCCAAGTAGCTAGGATTACAGATGTGCAACACTCATTGGGCTTTTTTTTTTTTTGATTGTTTATTTTTGGTGGGACTGGAGTTTGAACTCAGGGCTTCACACTAACAAAGCAGGCACTCTACCACTTGAGCCATACCTCCAATTCCATTTTGATCTGGTTATTTTGGATATGGGATCTCACAAACTGTTTGCCGAGGCCGATCTCAAACCTTGAGCCTTTCAAGTAGCTAGGATTGTAAGCATGAGCCACTGGCACCCAGACTTGTTTGGGGATTTTTTTTTTTTTTTTTTTTTTTGAGATGGAATCTTGCTGTGTTGCCCAGAGTAATCTCATACTACTGGGCTCAAGAGATCCTTCTGCACAGGCCTCCAGAGTAGCTGGGACTATAGATGCATACCACCACACCCAGCCAATAGTCGTTTCTAAAGCATTTAAAACATATCTGTTCACAACTGAATTGCTATTTCAAAATCTTCTCTTGTATTCCCCTGTGATTTTTTTTCTAGCAGCGTTTGCTCAGAAGTGAATTATCAAATGTTTACTTCCAAAAGTTTGTTATGATTTAGGACCACAAATGGTTTTTATAGGATGTCCAGATCCTCAGATGTATAGATGATTTTCATCCATCAATGTTACCTTACTGCCAGTTGCGTGTCCATTGTTGAGTGGGCACTTCAGCAGACAGAAGTGTAGGTCATAATTCCACAATTATTGGTGATATACAGTCTTACTCAAGTAGCTAGGATTACAGCTAGTTGTACATGAGTGCAAAGGAAATTCTCCTTGAGAAAGAATATCTATTGCCGGATGCCACTGTCTCACGCCTGTAATCCTAGCTACTCAGGAGGCAGAGATCAGGAGGATGTCAGTTCAAAGCCAACTCGGAGAGATAGTCCGCAAGACCCTGTCTCAGAAAACCCTATCATATCTTGAAAAATCCTGTCATAAAAAATTGGCATGGTGGAGTGGTTCAAGGTGAAGGCTCTGAGTTCAAGCCCCAGTACCACAAAAAAAAAAGAAGAAGAATGTCTACTAATGAGTGTGAACACAGAAAAGGACTGGAAAATGGAGGAGCAGAGAACTAACAGCCAAGGAAAGAACCTTGAGAGGTAGAGGACATGTTGGGACCTAAGGAGGAGGAAACACTATTTCATGGAAAGAAACATCTAGAGCATGTCTGGAAACATTAAGTCATAGACTATCCAGATGAGTTGGATCCTTAAAGACCAGCAGCCCTGATCACCTTTGGTGAGGCTGAAAAAAATCACAGCCCAAAACAAAGGATTGCCTGATGGCAGGGCCTGGCCAACAACTCAAAGGTTTTGGTATCTAAGTGCTTTTAACTTGATGGTTTGGTATGCTGTGTCAACCTATAATACGTTGAGAGGAAAAGAATGACAAATATTTTCTTCATAGAATTTCCCTTTTCCAGGCTTCCCCAACAGTCTTATTTGTTTATATCTGTCTAGTACATTGTAAAAGTGAAGAGTAGAGTAGATGAGCAGGTAGAGGGTTATTGCAGGATAATATCTTTGAGAAATAATCAAAGGGCATGTTTCAGCAGAATTATTTCTTTTAAATTAATAGTATCTTTCACATTTAACAATTGTGTTGGGTGTATTTGATACTTTCTGACTGAATCCACATTGTGAGTTCTGATCTTTCAGTTCCAGAAAGCCATGAGAAAGCACTTATCTGGCATTCAGTACTGGTTCCAGATTATTCCATCTCAATGTTCCTTTCCTACTTGCAGTTTCCCTTTCAGCTTCTTACTGCTTTCAGTTTTTGACTTAACTGTTTCTCACTGGCAAGTTTTGTGCATGGTCTTAATCTTTTTCTCTCTCTCCCTACATGTTTACTTCTCATTAATTTTGTCCTAATCTTTTTACTGTTTGGAGTTCCTCTACCCCTTTCTTTAGGATTGTTATTGACTGAATTCAGTAGACAGTGTCTATTTCACTAGTGTGTTTTTCTCCACTATTTCATTATCACATAACTTGCAAAAGTTGATCATAAAGTACACATGTCCTATGGGAGAGAAAAGAGGAGTTTTGGTTAATGTCAGAGGCTTGTGGACTGTTACATCTGCTTCACCTTCAACAATTACAGTGTGCTTACCCCAGAGGACAGTGGCAAAGCCAGATCATGACAGCAGAGGAGATGCCATTCTGTACACAAAGACTTACTTATTACAGCAAGCTAGGATCTTTTTAGTCAGTGTATCTGATGTGGGTCAGAATCATGACAGAAGCTGTTAAGTCATGAATTTATCTGTGCTTTTAAATAAACCACAGATGGTACTAAACCTATAACTTAGGTTACTGTTATCATGGGGTCAAGCAGCTGTATGACCATCAAAGATATATTTTTAAGATAAATTTGTATTGTATATGTGTTTGTTTATTCTCTTTGTAGCACGAGGTAGAACTAACATTGAGCTGAGAGAGAAGTTCATCCTACCAGAGGGGGCATCCCAAGGAATGACCCCTTTCCGATCACGGGGTCGAAGATCCAAACCATCTTCGAGGGCAGCTTCTCCCACCCGCTCCAGTTCAAGTGCTAGTCAGAGTAACCACAGCTGTACATCCATGCCATCTTCTCCAGCTACCCCAGCCAGTGGGACCAAGGTAGGTGCTAACCTCCTTCATGACCTCTCCCTATTCCCATCTTGGCAGATGTTCATTGTTCAGGGTAGCCTCTGAAAGACTCCAGGCAAAGGAGGAACACAGAAACAACAGACCAACACCACCTAAACCAAGAATGCCTAGGCCCCAGCAGTACACAGATTCAGAGCCTTTAAGATGATCAGCAAGGACATTTACTAAAATACACATTCAGCTAGTTACATCAGAAGTATTTCTTTCCTCTTATTCTCAGTTTTGAGTTTGAGTCCATCCAAAGTTACTAGGTCTAAAAATCCAGGTACTGTCTGCATAGCTGGAGCTAACAGATAAGCTTACTGTTAAGATCGGTCATATATGAAGAGTACTGTTGCCTTTCTGCCTGGTCCCTCTCATCCCTTTAGACTGATGTACATTTTATTTTGTTTTTTGTAAAATTTAGTGTCTTTTATTTATTTTGTTCTGTTCCCAATTTGTTCCCTTTCTGTTCCATTTCAATTGTTCCCATCCGTCCCTTTGGATTTCCGTTTCACAGACTCCATTTCAGTTCTCCCGCTGTTATGACAAACCCTGGTTGGTAAACAGTAAAGCTGGCACCCCTGTCAGGGACAGCCAATGTCCTGACCTCCATCTGCTCAGCCCCGAGGTAGAGTATGGCTTTGCTGAGTGGAACACAGTCATGAGGAAGCCCTCACTCATGCCAAGAACCTGCCCGGCTCTTCTTCCTGACACTAGCCCATTTCTCTTCCATCTCTGTGGCGCTTGCTGGCACAGTTGATTCATCTGATCATGTGTTTTCAGGGGTTTCTAACTCAGACTGACCAAAATTGGAGATAAATAAGAGATGCCTAAAACATGGTTGTAACAGTCTTTAGCATATTTGTTCAGGATGGTTAATAATGGTCATTCCTGTTGATTTGTTTGTTGATACTGTTTATAGTCAGACCTCTTAAGAGTCTCCAAATGTCAGATACTCAGACGAGTTACAAACACTTGAAATTCAACTACAGTGCATGTTCACCAATGTTTTATCTTTGCTTTGCTTAGTACAGGAGGATGGTTGTGCCACCCACCCTGAGATACTTCCCCATTGTGGTTAGTACTGCTACACTGGTCCAAGGCATAGGTGCTGTGTACTTCAGCCAAGCACAATGTCAGTGACCCCTGCTCTGGAGCTCAGATTTTACCTTATAAATTCCAAGGCTACATAGTGAAATCTTGTCTCCAAAAAAAAAAAAAAACACCTGAAACAAACATGGGCGGGATAGCAGTACAGTTTGCATCCTAGCTCTTACAGGGAAGCATTGGATTCTTGTGTCTCACAGGACAGAGCTGCTTTCATCAAGGCAAAGCCTCAGTGAGAAACTGGAGAGGCAGAGAAGCCAATGGCTATGAATGAGCTACTGCTTTGGGATTCATCCTGCTCCCAGCTAAAACTCCAGTTCAGAAATCTATCTAGCTTAGTAGATCTGGGGACCTACTGCCACTGAACCCCTAAGTCTCAACCTGCTATCTTGCTTTTCTTCTTCATAATGTCTCCAACTCAGCTCTCAATATATCTCAGAATTTCTAAAATGTTTCATTTCATTTTGACCTTTCATTTTCTTTACTCATTGGTATCCTATAGCCAGGCTATTCCTGACTTGGAACTCTGGCTCAGGGGTGGCGGAGCTATGGGTTCCCAGCAGTGGTGCTCAGGAAGGATAGCTTCTGGAACTGGTGCTCCTCCTCCTAGGTGGCCAAGAAAGTTCTTGCTTGAGTATTAATCACTATCTGTCGCTTTTGCTTTTCTTTTATAAACTGAAGAAATACAATAAACACAATTGAGATTGGTTGCTTTACTCTGTATAAACATTTTAAAGGTCCTGGAAAACAATTTCCACAACTGATTTCAAAGAACAATTGGAATAGGTGATATTTAAAACAGACTTTAAAATATCCTTTCTCCTCTAAATTAAGTCTACTACTATTTAAAAAAAAAAAAACTCAAAGGAAATGTGGTTTCCACCAGTAACAGTAATAATAATATACAACTCTTTTCCAGGTCAGGAAATGCTTCTACATATTTTTTCATTCAACAAGGTTTTATTGAGTCCTTTTTCTGTGCCAGACAGTTTTAGGTGCTAAAGATGAGACAGTTAATAAAACAAAGCCCCTGCTTTATGGAGTTGATGCTTTAATGTGGGGAAAAGAGGCAAGAAGCAAAGTATGGGTACTTGTGGCTCATGCCTATAATCACAGCTACTCATCAAGGCCAGCCCAGGCAAAAAGTTATAGCAAGACTTCATTTCAGTCTATAGGCTAAACATGGTGGTGCGTGCCTACCATCCCAACCAAATGGGAGGTATAAATAAGGAGTATCATGGGCCATACTGACCATGAGACCCTATTTGAAAAATAAACAAAGCTAAAAGGACAGGGTGGGGGTAGTTCAAGCAGTAGAATGCCAGTATACATCAGGTATTGGTAAGTACTATGCAAAAAAAAAAGATGAAGCAGGGCAAGAGGATAGAAAGTTTGCAAGTGGTATTGAGTGGTAAGGAAACTCTCTGATAAGGTCATCCTCTCAGCATAGCCCCTGCAGGAAACTGGCCGGGTGGGCAGCAACAGTCCAGAATGAACAGCAAGGGGACAAGACTGGGAACCTCCCTGGACTACTGGACAAACAGCAGGGAGCCTCTTGTCGCTAAATGGACTGACGAGAGAGTATGGTAAAAATAAAGTGGTAGAAGCAGGATTTAATCCCTCATGTCCCAAGGGAGAAACTGAGACCTAGGCTGCTTCATTTGAATCAGTCATGGAGCCCAGACACAAAGCCAGGTCTCCTGACACCTCATTCAGAGCCTTGTTCCTGATATCATAGACCTCTTGCCCCTTCTCATTTATTTGATCCACAAGGCAAGTAATCTTACCAGCACTTTACCCATGAGGATAAAGGCTAAGATGTTGACTAAAGTTAGCAATCCACTGCTTAGCAATGGAGATTGGAGTAATAGTTGAATCTCTGTGTTTCAGATGTCTAGCCCCAAAAGTTGATTGATACGATTATTTGGCTTTTTATTTACTCACCATATTTCTGTTTGTTACAACTATGGTGATCTTACTATTTGAAGATCTTTTCCATTTCTTCTAAAATTTGTCAGCAAATAAAAGATACTAGAAGCTATTTTAAATTGGAACTTAAAACCTTTGTTTTGAAAATACTGAAAATCCATGACATAGGACACTTTCAAAATAAATCTTTGCTTTCCCGGACTTTTAATTTGCTTCTCAAATGATCACATATGAAGCGGTTTTTAAGTAAACATTTAAATTTAAATTTCTTTTAAAGATTTCATGAAGTTAATATGATCCTTTATTGTTTTGAAGGTTATTCCATCAACAGGCAGCAAGCTGAAACGACCAACACCAACTTTTCATTCTAGCCGAACTTCCCTTGCTGGGGATACCAGTAACAGTTCTTCCCCAGCTTCCACAGGTGCCAAAACTAATCGCGCAGGTAAGTGCCTGTCCTATGAAACATGTATTGGGCTGAGGGGTGAGGGGGAAAAGCTAAGAATTAGAGAGCATGCTTCACTGCTCTCCATGGAGCCAGTGATGAGAATAGCATTTCGTGTGATGCACACACAGAAAGGCAGACCTGAGGGTTTTCAGGTTTACAGATCTGAATTACAGGTTTGTTCATCTGCATTTTTTTTTTTTTTGCTATTTATGTAAATAGTCAATCAACTTCCCACAAACCGACAAATGAATTCCAGAAGCCTATTCTGAAAATATGAGGCTAAGCCAAACATTTGCTTGTCCTTTAACAGAGTTCAGTTTGTTTCTATCCATCTCCTGTCACTGCAGCTAACTCTAATCTTGTCTTCAAAGAGAAAAGCTATTCTTGATCAGAAATTATCACAGTTGAGAAAGTATGACCTGGTAGAGTAGTCCAAGTGATAAGAGCACCTGCCTAGCAAGCCTAACAAACATGAGGCCCTGAGTTCAAACCCCAGAACTGTCGTCCCCCTCCCCAAAAAAAAAAAAAAAAAAGAGAAAGGAAGAAAGGGTCACTCCAGAGTTGGGGCAAGCAGTTTGCTATTAACTTTTCTAAAACCGCCTATTATGGCTGCTGGTGAGCTGAGAAAGTATGGGACAGAATGCATCTGCTCACCTGGAAATTTGACTTCTTTTCTGGCTCTCAGCCTACTGACCTTCATCTCCATTTTCCATCTGCTTCTATATTGCCTGTTCACTCATCTATGCTGAAGGGCATGAGCAGCCCCAGCTGATTGCATGTTGGGGACATGAAAGCAAGCTTCACAGGTAGACTTGCAGGCCAGGACAGGCTCAGCACCTTCTGTGTGAATGAGGAAACTCAAGTCCAGAAAAGCTGTGACTTGCCCAAGGTCACCCAGCAAATCAGATGGCATTAGGATCAGTAACCTGGCCTGTGGCCACTTGTACTTACACCCTATGCCTTCTGTATTAAGTTGCTGCTTTATTCTTGAATTCCAGACCCTAAGAAGTCAGCCAGTCGCCCTGGGAGTCGAGCTGGGAGTCGAGCTGGGAGTCGTGCCAGCAGCCGGCGAGGAAGTGATGCCTCTGACTTTGACCTTTTAGAGACTCAGTCTGCTTGTTCAGACACTTCTGAAAGCAGCGCTGCAGGGGGCCAAGGCAACTCCAGGAGAGGGCTAACCAAACCTTCCAAAATCCCAACCATGTCTAAGAAGACCACCACTGCCTCCCCCAGGACTCCTGGTCCCAAGCGATAACACTGTATAAGCACCCCACACCACTGTCCACTTTGAATTTGCTCCATACATTGGGTGTATATTTATTCCGAATGGGAGAAGTTATATTGTTAAAAGTGTAAAAGAATAATTGTGTTATGAAGCTGCCTTATTTTTTTTTCCTTTTTGTAAGTTACTATTTTCATGTGAATATTTATGTAGATAAAATTTGCCTCCTGGTAACCCTGTAATAGATGAGGCCCAGAAATGAAATATTTGAGAAAAACAAATGGAAAGGTCAAGATTCAAATGTGTATTAAAAGAAAAGCCTCTAAATAGGGTTTCTGCGTGCAGGATTGCAAACCTGCTTTATCTTTTAGGATTATTCCTAAATGCATCTTCTTTATAAACCTGACTTGCTGTCTCAGCAAGATAAATTATATTAAAAAAAAAAAATAAGAATCCTGCAATGTTTAAGGAACTCTTTTTTTTTTTTTTTTTTTGTGTAAATCACAGACACCTCGATTAACAAGAACTGAGGGGAGGGCACTTCTAATTGCATTTCCATTGTTTAATGTGTGATTTTAGCCGAAGAGACAGAACCTCATGTACGTAGCATTTGCACACAGTACAGCAAAAGGAGTTCACTGCAATACTGTCTCAATTCTGGATGTTTAAAGGACACATAGCTGCTAGAATTCAGGGGTAAATGTAACTTCCTAAAACTCCCAAAACTAGGGTTTTAAACTGATTTGTTAACTATCCAGCCTAGCCACCAATGAGCAGTCCTGTGTTCCCCAGGACCCAGATCCTTGGGAAGGGAGACTCCTTGGTGGCATTGTGAATTACAGATTTGTTTACCTACATTTTTTGCTATTTAAATGGTTGATCAACTTCCCACAAACTGAGGAATGAATTCCATGAGCCTATTCTGAAAATGTGGACCTAAGACAATACTTGCTTGTCCTTTAACGGAGTTCACCAGCACACTTGTTCATCAGTCCCGTTTGCTTCCGTCTTTTTTTGTGTGTGTAATAAAGTCAACCTACCAAGTGACCACAAAAGGGGCTGTCTGGGGCTCCTGTTTGTTAGCTGCTGTTCCTCTTCAGCTCCGACCATGTTGCTGTGTGATTATCTCAATTGGTTTTAATTGAGGCAGAAACTGAAGCTCTACCAATGAACTGTTTAAAAACAAGACACTTTTGTATTAAAATTGCTTGCAGTAATGAATGTTTTGTAATTCCTGATTTTCTTCTCAGTCACTACTTTATATTTAATGTTAGCCTGGGGTATAATGTTGTAGGTAATTAATACATTAATGAATATTCAAACCAAGCTATCTTGATGGATAAATTATACAACTCCTTAACAGACTTTTTTTCTTATTTTGCCCTTGTTAATTGTGTTTAGTGAGCAACAAACAGGACATTAAATATGTAGGAAGATTTTTGTATTAGAAATTGTAAATCCTGGGGTTTTGAGACGGGGCCAATTTCCCACAGTATGCTGAAATTTCTGTTTGAAGGATAGAATTTCAGAGGTGGAAGCAAAATCAGTCACTCTGTTAACTGCACAAAAGGTGGTTCCATTCTGCTCGCTCTGCATGCTGTAGGATGGAAGCCAATGGTAATTCATTCAATAAGCTAGTTGATCTGAAGGTGACAGGGACTCTTGCCCTAAAAAAACCATTTTTTGGGAAGCCTATTTAGTGTGGTTTATGGATGATCAAAGACTGGTGGGCACCTTCTCAGGTGCAGGTTTGTGCCAAATGATGCACATCTGGTCTTAATTGCCCCATCACTAGATGTTTTCTAGTTACGCAGGTCTCAAAAACAAAAGATCAGTGGTGGTAGACAACTGTAATCCCAGTATTTGAGAGGCTGAGGCAGGAGGATCCTGAGTTCAAGGCTAGCTTCAGATACTTATCTGTCTTAGAAAAACCAACACCTGGGAATGTAGCTCAGTGATAGAGTGTGGGAATGTAGCTCAGTGATAGAGTGCTTCCCTAGCATGCAAAAGGCCTTTTGGCTCAATCCTGGAGCTAATGGACAAGCTAGAGGGGTAGCTGCCCTGAGTCCCTCTTGCTGATCACCATATTTGTGGTATTGGAAGAAAACGTACTTCACTTGATTATTATGGGCCTCAACACTGGGAGTCAAATCCAATCTAGCTTCTTTGTTTTATAGGTAGAGAAAGTAGGATCGTAGTATGATTAAGTGTCTAAAACCTGCTGATTGGATTTGTAGGAATGTGAAGCCATTGTTGAGAGCACATGGCTACACTCATCCTAAATTGAGATCATTAATTTCTGTCCTAAGAATCAGCCCCACACTGGGCTGCTTCTGGTCTAGCTGGAAATCTGAGGATGAGGTAGGAGGCTCCCAATGCTGTGGTGTGCAGGAGTGTGGGGAGGGTCTGTAGGGCAAGTGGACATTGAAGGTGGGGAGGAGACAGTGGCCAGGAGACTCAGAGCCCCTGATCAAGCTGCATGGACAACCCCTTGACTTGTATGGATTCAGACTCCCAAACAGCTTTCTCTGCCCCTCCACCCCATCACCACTGGTGCTTACTGTCACCCCCATCCACACACACCCCACACACACACCTTACTGTGCCTGCCTCCAACTTCACCCTGACTGCAGACTCCCTGCAACCCACATTGCCCTCAGCTTCCAGGCTCTGGTCTCACCTTCGGCACATCGGCTAATATGCACTGTCCTTATGTTAAGGTTCAGAGTCTTTATGGGGCTTGCAAGCTGTGTGGAAATTTACCTGCTGGGTAAAAGACAAGCTAGGCATGTGCTTGAAGCACCAGCAAATAATTGCATTAAAAATTTTGTTGATATTTAAAGCTTTGAAGTCATCATGGCAAAGTGTGATTTTGGTGACATCATACTATTTTGGGGGAGTTCAGTTCTGAATCCACACGGAGGCACCATAATCGCTAGATGCCAGGATCCTACCTAAGGTGCAGGGCCCTTGACAGCTCTTCCTGCATTGGCTTTTTGAGTGGACCCAGTTCTCCTGGGTCCACTGAGCAACAAACCTGCAGGTGCCAACCTGCCCCACCCCAGCTCCAGTGTTGTGTGACCTACCTGGGGGTAGTCCCTTACTTAACTTCCGTGTGCCTCAGTTTCCTCCTCTTAAAAAGAGGTGTATACCCCATATCAACTTGTTACATTACAGAACTGATAAAGAACACACTCGAAGTTGCCTGGCACCTGACAAGTGCTGTTGACTCCACTAAGAGGCTCCCTCGAATTTAGGGTCTTGACGCAAGCTGTTCCCTCCGCTTGCGTACTTTCCTCCCACTGACCTTTCCTGTCGTTCAGGGCCAATGTCGCTGAGCCTTCGGAGCTCAGTGCAGGTGCCACTTCGCTTAGCACCTTGACCACCGGTGAGGCGATGCAGTGAGAGACGGCCGCTGGGGAGGGCAGGTGTGCAGAAAGGAGCTGAGCTAGTCCGTGGGTTTCCGGGAGGACCCTTGTCTTGCAAGCCGCTGGCGGCCGTGACAAGCGAGACGGTGGGCAAAGGTGGCCCCAGGTGCTCCGGAGGGCCTACGAGCTTCATGGCGCGACTGGAGGCAGGCGCGCGTCTCCACAGTGCCACCGAATCGGCAGCGGGGTGCGCAGGGCACAAGGCGGGGACTGGCGGGGACAGCAGACCCCGAGATGCCCGAGAGCACGCGGAAGCCAAGTGGCCAGGGGCGCCGGGGGAAGCCACTGAGCACGTGTCGGAGCAGATGTCCCCAGCAGCACCAGCAAGAGGACCGCAGGGAAGACGCACGGAGCTGGCGAGGAGCCGCGGTGGCCGGGCTGCTGCCGGCAGAGGAACGTGCCCTGCCCTCGGAGCATGGCTGGCCTCTCCAGACAGAACTGAGGACGTGAGCGGGGCCCCACGGAGACTCCCCGCACCCACGCGGGGCTAAGGACTCGGGATCCCCGCCAAGGGGCCCGCGGGAGCGCAGGTGCCTGCTTTCTTGGGACACACGAGACTATGAAGTCTCCGAGCCAAGCCCTGGACTGCGCCCCAGCGGGTAAGTGGAGGGCCCAGGGCAACCCTGAAGACCCCTCGCTTGCTCCCCACCCCCTACCCCCAGCCCCCATTCCACCGCCCCGCCCCCCATCGCTCCCCCCTCCCCACCAGAGGTCGCACCGCGAGTTTTGCCAGCTGCAGCACAGACTCCTCCCAGGGCCTCCTTGTTAGGGCACTGGCCCCGCCCCCTGCGTCCCCATTGGTCGGCCCAAGGAGGGGCGGGGCCGAAGGGCGGTAGCTGCGGTTCTAGGCGCCGACGGCTCACCGAGCTGAGGTAACTCGCGGATCTGTGCCGCGGGTTTCCCACGGAACTCTGCCGCCGCCTCTGCCAGCTCCGCAGTTGTTGGCCTCGTGGGACTGGCAGGCCCGGCGGCGACAGATGAATTAGCCGGGAGTCCCTAGTCCCTGAAGCAGCCTCTGCCCCTCAGCGGTGCCGGCTGCGGCCGCGCGTCGCCGAGGCGGGACAGGTGCTACGCGGCGGACGCTGTGGGGATCCCGCCGCGGCCGAAGGCGACGCTCGCCCCGTCCCGCCGGCCGCGCGCCCAGCCAGCCGCTCGCCGTCGGGGCGTCCCGCGGTCCGGGGCTCTGGGCCCGGCTGGGAGCGGATGCGCGCCCGCTGAGCCCCCGCCTGGCCCGCGATGGCCGCGCGCCCCGGGCCCCTCTGGCTCCTGGGCCTGGCTCTGTGCGCGCTGGGCGGCGGCCCCGGCCCGCGACCCCCGCCCAGCTGTCCCCAGCGGCTCCTGGGAGCGCGCGAGCGCCGCGACATGCAGCGCGAGATCCTGGCGGTGCTCGGGCTGCCCGGGCGGCCCCGGCCCCGCGCGCCGCCCGCCGCCGCCCGGCTGCCCGCGTCCGCGCCGCTCTTCATGCTGGACCTCTACCACGCCATGGCCGGCGACGACGACGAGGACGCCGGGCCCCTGGAGCGGCGCCTGGGCCGCGCCGACCTGGTCATGAGCTTCGTCAACATGGGTGAGTGCGGCCCGGGGATGGCGGCCGGGACGCGGTGGTGCCCGCGGGAGTGGATGGCGGGTGTGCGTCGTGGTCGGGGTGACAGCGCCCTCACGCTGGTCCCTCGGGAGTGAACTGCGGCTGCCATGCAGTGTGTGCATCCTAGGGCAATGCCAGGCCCCGGCGGCGACCGCGAGTCAGGTGCAGTGGACAGGAGCCAGGGGACGGCGACTGCTTTGGGGCCGGCGCGGTTCTCCCTGAGCTGTGCGGCGACAGGAACAGCTCCCGGGACAGCGTTCGCCCGGCCCCCAAACACCCAGGACGGGGACCGGGACGGGGCGAGGACCGGGCCCACCTGGGTGGTACCAGGAAGACAGTCGGGTCCTGAAGAAAATGATGAGTAAGCAGAGGCTGTGATAAGGACAGTCCTAAGGAGAGGGACAAAGGTCAGCATGGAAACCTGTGGTCACATCATCAAAGTGACCGGAACTGCCTCCCATGCAGGCTGTGCCTGAGCAGCAGGAAGCCTGGGTGAGGCACTGTCCGGGAGCAGCTGGGGAAGGAGGGACACCCAGCTCCATGGGTCAGGGACCTGTGAGTGACCCAAGGGGCAGCTTGGGTCCCTGGCTTTCTCCCCGGGTAAGCTTGGCTTTTCCTCTCTGCTGAATCCTCTACAAGCCCTGGAGCCAGTTATCCCTGAAAGTTCAGCACTATTTCCCCAGTCCCTTTCATCCAAGCCATGAGAACTTACTGTGGGGCAGGTCCCCACCTGCTTTGCCTCCTGTCTGTGTCTAGTGACAAGCAGGGCCTGGGCTAGAGCAGACAGCAGGCTGAGTCTGGGGACCAGGCCATGAGGCTGAGAGCAGGGAGAGGACCCCTGCTATGGCCACCAACTGCCCTCACCCACAGCAGCCCTTGTAATCCTCCCAGCATCCCTGGGAGCAGCCACAGTCTCCCCATCTTCCAGGTGAGGACAGGGAGTCCCAGAGAGGCAGTGGCATGCTTCAAATAGCACAGGACAGGCCCAAGTTGTCTGGCTCTACACCCAGTGCTCAAGGAGGTGATATTTCTGTTGTCAGGCCAGGGTTTGAGGATGGACAGAGCTTTCAGGGTTGTGGGTGGAGGAACACAGGACAGCGGGGTGTGTGGGGGTCCTTAGCCCTTTGTTTCCTACACCAGATCAAGAAGAGGGGACAGCCAAGTCTCTGCTGTCCCCCCCCCCCAGTGCTGGTGTGGGCTGAGGTGGGGGAGAGCAGAGTGGGAGGCAGTTGCAAACCAGAGCCTAGAGTTCAGGGCCAGGGCCAGGCCAGTGGAATCTGGACACTGCCTGCCTGCTTAGAGGGCAGGGTGAGGAATTAGAACAGAGGAGACCACGTATGGGACTGGGACTGGAGTTCCATCCTTAGGACAGGCTGACCCAGGGCTCAGGACCAAGAAGAGTTGAGGATGGAGTTGCCCAAGAATGTCCCTAGGGGAGCCGCCCACCAGAAAGAGTCACTGCCCAGCCCATGTCCTGCTTCCCTCCAGCATCTCCTGGGTCAAGGCACGCACAGATCTGGTGGGAGCTGTTGCAGTGAAATAGTCAGGGCGACTATCGCTGAATGAACTTGCAAGAGTGCCTTTTACCTTAGCCATAGACCACTACTTATAAAATGTGGTTCTAGTGGTCTATTATCAGGGTTGCTATATGATTAGTTAATAGAGAGGCAAGAGTCCATTTTTTCCCCTGAGAGGGAACCTAGGCCTAGTCACTGCTGACCCCCATCCCTCCCAGGGTGGCCCAGTCATGATTTGAGATGTCCAATATTCCCCACATGTTTTGTACATGTGGAAACCTAGAAATGGATTCTAAAAGCCAACAAAAGGCATTTGTACCTATGTTTACAAGAAAATCTACCATTTGAATTTTCACACCTTCTAGTCCTCATTTAGTCCTGGCAACAACATGAGAAACTTTTGCCAGCCCCATTACAGGGGCTCAGAAAGGTTAAATGGCCAGCCCATGGCCACACAGCACATCCAGAGCAACATCCATGGCTGTGGATCCCACATCCCATTTCTTCCCACACTGTCTCTGTGTGTTCCATTAGGATCTGGGCCTCTGACACTGGGATTAACAAGCAGACCTTTGTTCAGTGGCAGCTGGCTGTGGGTGGCACCATCAGAAGGGCTTTCTTTATTCGGATGGACTCACTGCACTAGTACAACTCCCTTGGCCACAGTAGTTTTAACAGCTAATTACCCAGGGCCATATGTGGGGATTAGACATGTACCAGGATTCCTTCCATGTTTGGAGGCCCAGGTCCAACCTAAAGGTCAGGTCCCCAGAACCACTGTGGAGTCTAATAGCAGAGTCCCTGTGGTGTTGGTGTCCATGCCCAGATCCCACACCTGCTATCTCCAGCTGCACCTCTCTTGTGAGCCTCCTCTGGCTCCTGAGAAGCCAGGCCTGGGCCTGCGAGGCCCCTGACTGCTGATGGTAGCCTGCAGGGCCCACAGCTGGGGTTCATCTCGGGCCTCCCACCAGGGCTCAGACCAGTGAGGAGGAGGTCCTTTAGAAGCCTGGCATGGTTTTCAGAGCCTGTGTTGTGAGCCAGGGCTGCGGTCAGAGCTGTGGACTCTGCCTGGCCTCTCTGTCCATCTCAGCCTGAAGACCCTTGGGCCCTCAGGGTCAGGGTGCAGTAAAGGGAGCTGTAACCCTGTGAAGCGGATGGCTCCTGTCCCTGGTCTCCTTGTGTTCCTTTTTTTTTTTTCCTTTTTTTTTTTTTTTCGGTGCTGGGGACCGAACTCAGGGCCTTACACTTGCCAGGCAAGCGCTCTTCCACTGAGCTAAATCCCCAACCCCTCCTTGTGCTCCTTGAGCTGAGCTTGAGCCTTGAACACAAGACCCAGGTTCCTTACCTTCACCAATTGGACCTGTCCTTAGTTTCTGCTTGTCTCCATCCACATCCCTTCTCTGGTCCTCTGCCTTCTCATTCAGTCTGCATGGGTGGTGTCAGAAAAGTGAGGTACCTCCCAGCCATGATCTTCAGCCTGTGTCAGAGACCCCTGCTCACAAGGCTGCCCTATCCCTGTACTTGATCACCTTGGGACTGCCTGGCCCTTCTAGGAGGAGGAGGTTCTCCTTGGGAGGAGGCAGGAAGAACCAACTCTGCATGTGCTTTCTTAATCCTTTTCCCTTCTTTCAATGGAGAGGCAGGTGCCCCTGTTCCAGACTGAGAAACTGAGGCACAAACAGCACTAACAGGCTGTTAGTCTAGGCAGGATCTTCACCTTGATCCCAACCCTTTTCTGAACCAGACTAATTTATTCCTGTGCTGTCAAGTGGCCAAAGACAGGAGTGCTGACGAGCTGAGGTTGTTGGATCTGGGAGAACTGGGAGAATCAGGGATGAGTGGGAATAGGGGCCTGGGTCCTTCCCTGCCCTTACCAGCCCTTTGACCTTCAAAAGTGATGCTTTCTCTCTAGGATTTCAGAGTCACTCCTTTTGTGTTTTTATCAGGGAATCCTTTCATTTTCCCATTTGTTTATATTCATTCATTCATTCAACAAATAATTATGTAATACCTACTACATGTGAGGCCCAGTTTCAGTCTCTTGGGATGTAACAAAGAATAAAGTCTATGTCCTTATGGGGCTGACCTTCTAGAAGGAGAGACAAGTAATAAAGTAGCTATTGTGCTGGAAACATGGCTCAAGTGGCAGAGCACCTACATAGCAAGCTCCAGGCCCTGAGTTCTAAACCCCATTCCCACCTAAATAAATAAATAATACATAAGCCATAAAGGTGTCAAATGTGCTAACCTGGCCCTCCAGCCCCCATGTGGAAGCAAGAGAGGCTGAATAAGGTCAGGACAGCCAGGCCTGGGCTGAGGGTTTCTGACCTCGGAGTCACACAGAGAGAATTTGCATCCTGGGTCCAGCTCCTACTCTTGTGTGACCTGGGCTTTCCTGGCCACCTCTCCAAGCCTTGGTTTCCTCCGCGATGCTCATTTTATGGGGCTGTCAGAGCTTGTGTAAGATGACACCCAGTGATGACCACATGCCCAGATCCTCAACGTTTGCTCCTTCAGTTGCATTTCACAATTACTGATACATCTTTGTTTTAAAAAGAGGAGAGTGAGTGAGGGCTGCGGGTATGACTCAAGTAGTAGAGAGCCCACCTAGCATCTCCAGACCCCGGTACTGCAAAAAGGAGAGTGAGATTAGATTTTCCCAAGTGAGGCAGGTGATTTTTCCAAGGCCACACAGCAGGTCATATCCCTTACCTGCACATCCTGTGCTTGTCCACTATATAGCAACTGCCTCTCTACCCAGCCCTGGGCCTAGCCTATGGTTAAATACAGTAAGTGCTGCTGAATTGACTAAATATGAATGTGTACTGAAAACTAAGACTCCTGTTGTGAAGTGTCTTTAGTGCTTTGGGATTTACGGTAATTATATATGTTCATCACATAAAATTCAGAGCATAGCAGAACAGATGGGGGGGTGTGGGACTCCTATTCCTACCAGCCAGTCCCCCTGCAAGCAACTGCTTTCTGATTTCTATAGCCGTGATTCATGTAGTGCATAATCTAGTATCTCATCTTTTCACTCAACATAAATTTTTGATATGCGTCCATGGTGGTGTTGTTTCTGTAATTTTTGTTTTACAACTGAGTTGCATTCTATTGCATGAATAGACCACAATTTACTCTTATTAATTTATACATATTAATGGACATGGATTGTTTCCAGTTTGGGGTTATTATGAATAGAGCTGTTCTGAGGTTTATTTTATTATATTTATTTATTGTGGGGCTGGGGGTTCAAACCCAGAGCCTTATGCATACTAGGCAAGTACTCTGCCACTGAGCTACATCCCCAGCCCAGAGCATTCTTATATACATCATTTTGTGGATATATTAAACCTGGATTTTAATCCTGAGTGTGCACTTGGATCTGTGAGATGTTGAACAGGTTGCTTAATGTCTCAACCAAGTTTCTATACCTTTAAGGCAAACTAAGTGAAGCTGGTCCCC